GGGGGGGGTCGCTTCCCTGCTCCGCGCCGCCCTGCCCGGGGTCTTGGCCCGGCTCCTGCCCCCGCGGCCGCGGGGAGCCGAGTCCTGCTTCTCCTCCGAGGGCCCCTGCCCTCTCGCCCCCCCGGGAAAAGTCTTCCCGTCTCCCGCGCCTGCTGCCTGGGCTCGGCGGGGCCGCGCCTCCAGCTGCCCCCTCCTTGCATTTCTCTTTCGACGCGTGTCTTTGCTCCCCCCTCAGCCAGGAGGTGGTTGCAACTCCCCCTCCACCCCGGTTGCCCAAACCCCGGACCCCGGGCTTGCGAAATCCCCGCCTGGTGCGGGCCTCTGGAAGGAATGAGTAACTTTCCCATTTCCATTGGGGTTGGGCAGGAATTGAAGACATCTGGCCGGCCCTCGGCTGGGGAGAAGGGCTCCCCGGGCTTCCCTCGCTGCTAGGTGGTTTCTAGATCTTGTCGCGCAGCCGGGAAGGAGCTGCGGAGCTGGCTTCACTCGCGTTGTGGTGCCGGCGCGGCGCGGGGTGGCTGGGCGCGTGCGGGCGCTGCGCTCGCTTTCACTTCTTTTCACATTTGCCTGCTGAGAAGCCGGAGGGTTCATAAGTTTAAAGGAAAAGTTCCAGTGGCTGTCACTGAAGTGATGGATCACAAGGATGAAATCCCCTCCTCCCCGGCCTCCCGTAGCTGAACTGCTTGGTCCTATACACTGGTTAGTCCTACAGCTTGACATCAGCTGTAACAGTTGATGGTTATGCTCTACCTCTATAACATGCCGTAACTGGTAACTCTCTAACTCCTGTAACTGGTTAGTCCTGGCTTGGTTATAAATCCATAACTCATTGCCTCCCTGTGCCATCTGCGTTACAGTTTCATGCCCGTTAAGATAGGGCTGCAATATTTTTGTTGGATTTCTTTTTTTAAAACTGAAGGGTGAGTTCCTGCTTGTAGCAAGGGTCAGTGTTTAACTGCTGTTCATCTCACCTAATGCCAAATCTGATTGCCTGCGAGTTTGGTAGATGTTGGTGTACATTGCTGCATGGGAGGAATGGAATTGTGATGTGGAACTCAATCAATTCAGAAATGTTCCTGCTGGGATTTAATGTCCTGTGTGTGAGGTTAGTTAAACTGCTTGCCTGTAGCAACTGCCTGCAAATTAGGATGAAAAGTGTGTCTCTTCAAGCTTGATGTGCCAGATTTGGTGCTGAATAACATAGGCAATATCTCTGTCTTAAATGAATTTGTAAAGGATATTATTGACCCTATAATTGTACCTATTTTGAGTGGGTGTTTTTGTAAAGGTAGTGCAGAAATTATTTTGTATTCTTAATGCTACTTAGAAACAACATTTGATGAATCTTTCATTGTGATATTGTACCATTTCAAGTATCTGGAGGGGTAATTTTTACTCCTCCTACACCCTGGGAAAAATTGTTGCTGTTGTTTTTGTTCAAAGCTTGAGGCCATTGGCATTAAATTATAGTAAAGTTTATCCATGACTTGAGTAGTTGGCTGTTGCCTGTTACAGAAGTGAATTAAAACTGTTAAAATGCAAGCACACCACACAGCATGAGTAAAGAACAGCAGAAGTGGAAAAAAGTTATCTTTGCAGTTTATACTTTATTTTTACAGTGTTCACTGAGATGATCAATTTTTTTTTACCTGTTTGTTTTGATGTTACTTCCAGGTGTAGTTCTTTTAGAGCTGTTCATTTAAGAAAGCAAACCCTAGGAAAATAGTCACTCTGGACCTTCTGGGTAACTGCACTCTATAAATCTAATAACTAACTAAATAAAAACAAGTAGTTAAGTCTTGAAACTTTCAAATAACCTTTTGAAATCAGCGTCAGTGTCATTATGAAATATTTAATGGATGAATCTGAACTTCTGAATTTATCATATCAGGATGAAAGTGCTTTCAAACTCCAGCAATAATGAAGTTGTATTTAACAAAACATTTTAGAAAAGTTAAACCCCACCCCCCCAAAAAAACCCCAAACAAAAACTAACAGAAAACCTGCTTGGGTTAGCATAAGAATCCCAGGGCCCGTGGTGTTCCTAAACTCTTAACTTTTCCAATGATTAATGGTATTGCTAATTTAACTGAAATGTTTTGTGTAATTGTATTGTAATTATGTACTTAAAAGCCCTGTATAAAATCTGATTTCTAAAATTACACGTATGTTTACACAGAGGTGGACGTGTTAAGATACATGAATTCCTTATTTGAATGCACAGTATTTTTCCCTTCCTCTCACTGATAGATTATGCAGACTAGAGAAAATAAACTATTTCTGACAATGGTTGAGGTCAAACAGGGAGATGCTGCGAGCTGAAGTTGCAAAGGACATTATGAACTGAAATGTTAAGCATTTTTAAAAAAAATAAAAATCTAATAAGCTCTGTCAAGTACCTAAAGCAATAACTGAAACAGAAGGGAGAGAAATGTGAGACAGAATTAAAAACAAAAACCAACATACTTTTTAAATAAAATCATCATGTTTCTGATCAGTTTAAATGCATACACAATTTAAATGCATTCTAAAATTAAGCTTGTCTAGAGAGATCTATTATTAGAGTGTAGAAAGTGGCTGTAAAGTTGTATGTCAGCTAACTTTTCAACCCTGCCTAACCTCCCCATCCCTGTTTTCATCCTATGTATTTGAGTCTAGCTGCAGTACAAAAGAAAAAAAAATAAAGGAAGGTTGGCTCAGAAATGCTTGTAAGTAGGCCAGATGCAACTGGTGTGAGGCCAATATTAACGGCAGTTCTGAGGAGATGAACTTAAAATATAGTACCCTTCAAAAACTGAAATTACTTTTTCGTTGGTTTAATAAAGTATTTCTACTGAAAATTATACTACATAAACTAAGCTGAGATGAAAAATGTAAAATATGCAAAGCATAGCTTGTATTAAAAAGTAAATTTAATACATTAGCTTCTCTTGGGCATGAACTATGTAAATAGAAATCCCTCCCCCCCCCATCTGGAAAAACACTCAGTTGTTTCACTGGGAAAAGTTAATTTGCTGGGTTTTATTATCATGGTGCTGATGTTTCTTTGGTCACTGAAAAGAAAGGAGATACCTTAAGATTCCATAGATCCTGTCCTAGCTGCAACAGACTTTTTGGCAAAGAGTAACTTTACAGATGCCAAAATTCTAGAAGTTTAAGGAGTTTTTTGAATTAGGCCAGGTCTGCATTTGGAAAGCTGTGCTGGAATAGCTATTCCAGTATGTTGCATTGTCAAAATGCTCCTGGCTGAAAGAGTGCTTACACTGGAAAAACTCCTTTTGTTAATATAGCTTATTTAAGTTTCCCCACCCAAGAAAATTTGGCTACATTGCTGAAAGCATAGGGCTCCTATACATGTGCGGGGCAGCCTTTCTCAATACACTGGAAATCCAGTGTGTAGGAGCAGACTTGATTAATTGAGTAGCAGGGTTAGACTCGATTAATTGAGTCTGCTGGAGCATGGAAATGGACGCATTCTGGCAGCCTTCTGCATCACATATATCAGCAGCCTTGTGCGCCTCCACGCTGAAAAAGTGGCGACAGAGTGTTTTGAAGTAAAACACATTCTATGAGCTTTAGTTCAAAGTGTCCCACTGCCATTTTTCAGCACGGGGACATGCGGGGATTCTGATGCACATGATTCGTGGGTGCTTTTAATTACCTGTGACATACAGGTGCTTAGCTCTCTAAGTAATGTGCCCGGCGCCACTTCCAAGAGCATGTGTAAAAATGCCCATAGTGTAACTGCATCTGCACTAGGAGCCTTTTTAGGCACATCTGGTAGGCAGGGATTGCACACCTGGCTGATAAAGCTGCCCTGGCCCTGGATAATTTTTAGTGGAGACCTGGTCTCAGTAAACTGAATGAGCTGCCATGTACTATTTTCAACAAGACAAAGCCCTTGCAAAGTATGGTGACAATAGCTGAGCTGCTTTCATTTGCACATGTGAATAACTAGTTTCATGCATAGAAGTTACAACTGTAACTAAGTGTTGGAAAGGTCGGCCACTAAATATACATACTTTTAAAAAAGACTTACTCATTTGTTTGTGACTTTTACATTTAGTTTCCTTATAAAATGAAGGCCTATTTTTTAATGTTTCATTCTAAATAATGACTTAAATTTTAGATGCTAATGTTTTACTTGTAAGTGGAGTGTGTATCCACAAAAAGAAGATGTTCTGCAGAATTGTTACTGCTGTTCTGTGCTTGTTCATATATGGTGGTTTAGTTGTAAAACCAGATCAGAAATTAAAGCTTTTCCATTTTGTCATTGCATAAAATGGTATTGGTTATGATGATGATATAGAGGGTAAAAGAATACCCTACCAGATATTAGAAGGATGTAATGATACTGAAAAATTCCTGTAATGTCTCTGGTCTCACAGTTTAGTCATCAGAATACATAATGAAAAGAGAAAATTACAGTACCTTGAGACAAGCTAGTAAGATGTGATTTTATTTATTTATTTTTGAATTAGTGTATGTAGTTTTCATAGAAGTGGCTAGATTGACAGCTACAGAAACCAAATCCTCAGTCTAGTCATTGAATGTGTAAGGATGGACTAAGTAAGCTTCTGCACTCCATCTCTAATTTTATTTGATCTTGACTTGGAAAAATCTGAAGATGAATGAATGGACTTGAAAAGTAAACCATCTGCTGAGATTAGAGTAAATGTGTTACCACTTGTGATGTGTAACCCTATCGTGCCCACTAGAAATTGGATTGACATTTATCAGCTGGCATGGGTTTGATACGACAAGTCAAGGAACACCATTTATGGGTCCAGTTAAAAACCTGTTGAAGTCCATGGAATTGGAATCCACCCACCAGAACCTTAAATTAAACCTTGTAATTTCAATAAATGACTTGAAGGAAATGACTTTTGTTTAGGTCTTACTATTGCCATAGTCAAAATGCGTATAGCAATGTTGCTAAACTTTAAACATGTTGCCTTTTGATGATAACATGTCTATAAACATTAACATCTCCAAGACTAAGTGTGTGAGGTTTTTTTTTATGTGAATACACAGGCTTATTGCATTTCAGTTAATTATCATTTGTAGTTATGTTTCTTCTCATAGTGTAACTAAATCAATACATGTATTATGAACAAAAAAACATTTGGCAGGTCTGATACTACTTTATAACATAATCTGTATTTAATAATACTATTCCCATTTTGCTTTTCCCACCTCTTAATTTTCAGGTGCATTTTTTTTCTAATTTCAAAAAGCAAAATTTCAGGTGTCTGTGGTTGCAGTTTTGCCTGCTGTGATCTACAGCTGATCACTAGGTGTAGCTGCATCTCTAAATCCACTTTTCCAAGCAAGGAAAGATGAAGAGTTATAAACTGGGCTGTCTCAATTTAGGTACATATGGAAGTGTAAAATAATCTATATGTTGTGTAAAATAATCTGTATGTTTTACATTATGTACTAAAAATGTAAAATAATACTTGAAGTGTAAAATAATCTGTGTGTTTTTGTAACCATACAGAATTTGGACCTGGCAAAAATTTGATTGTAGTTAATTACATAGATTAACTGCAAGAAAGGCAGCTTTTTTGGATTGTATTTAACAGTTTTCAACATTTCCCTCCACAGAAATCAGAGGATAGGGAATGATCTTGCCTGCATGATGACAGGAATTGCTTGTTATTAGAAAACAAATAATATTTTGCTAGTGACTTGAACAT